CAAGTTGCGTATGGTGGTGCTGCCCAATGGGGCGCTGGAAATCGATGAGGTGGGTCCCTCGGATCGAGGATCCTACCAGTGCAACGTGACATCGGGCAGTTCCTCCCGTTTGAGCAGCAAAACCAACTTGAACATCAAGAAGCCAAATGAACCGGGAGCCGAGAATGCCGTGGCTCCCTCATTCCTCGTTGGCCCGTCACCCAAGACCGTGAGGGAGGGCGAGACGGTGACCCTGGACTGTGTGGCCAATGGAGTGCCCAAGCCGCAGATCAAGTGGCTGCGAAATGGCATGGATCTGGATCTGAACGACCTCGACTCCCGCTTCTCCATCATTGGAACGGGCTCGCTGCAAATCTCCAGTGCCGAGGACATTGACTCGGGGAACTACCAGTGCAGGGCCAGCAATACGGTGGATTCGCTGGATGCCCAGGCCACGGTGCAGGTACAGGAGCCGCCGAAGTTCATCAAGGCGCCCAAGGATACATCTGCCCACGAGAAGGATGAGCCGGAGCTGAGATGCGACATCTGGGGGAAGCCCAAGCCCATAATTAGGTGGCTTAAGAACGGAGATCTCATAACGCCCAATGACTATATGCAATTGGTGGATGGCCACAATCTGAAGATCCTCGGGCTCCTGAACTCCGATGCCGGCATGTTCCAGTGCGTGGGTACCAATGCCGCCGGCAGTGTCCATGCTGCAGCTCGTCTGCGCGTGGTTCCCCAAGGAGGTGAGTGGATTATCTGAAGATGTAACCCAAGTAGATCTAGCTCGGTGTCCAGTATTTGTGCAGCTTAAACGATTGGAGCCTCTGTGAGGCCTGTAAATTGACCCAACGAAATTTATAGCCCCAATCTCCCAATAACGCCTATCTCACCTTGTTGTATAAATATCCCCTCATTCATCCTGCTTTTGTAAAATAATTTCGTAAGCGTCTGTGTGTGTATTGTTTGTATAGTAATAAATTAAACTACCCAAATTATTTTATCTCAATATATGAAAATCTCTTTTGTGTTTGCTTAACTATAGCAAATGCGATTATTTATGTCTTCATTGTTCTGTGAATAAGGTATTAAAATTGCTTAGTAGTCCTACGTTTGCATTTATGATTTCAATACATTTACATAACCCAAAGAGTTAATCGGCTTAAGTATGGCCACAATTAAGTACAATGAATTATTCATTAAATGCTATCGAACATACAAAAGAGATTTCAATCAACTTTATTAATATTGAATCATGTGTAATGAATTTTATTAATTTCGAATATAATTTATTAACTTATTGTTTATTTCGTTTGTTCTTTTATTTCCTTTATCCTTGCCTCATTTCCATTTGATATCACCCTAAAAACAACCATCCAACCACCACCACCGAATCCCACTCCCAAAGTGAAAATCAAAAAACGAAAATCCCAAGGCCACTCGACCAAATCCCTCCAGACCTTTGACAACCTGACCAAGCGACGAAAGCCCTTCAATTCGGGTGAACAGCTGCGCACCAAGTCCGGTGGCAGTCTACCCTTTCCGGACGAGGACCTTGACGACCTTGACGACCCAGAGGACGCCAGTACGACGCGACTGAGGATTCCAGCCGGAAAGCTTCCCCACTTTGAGCAACCGCTTAACGATCGCCGGTTCAACATTCTCAACTCGGCGAGCATTCTGCCGCTGGAGAGCCAATCGAAGAGTTACGAGGACGACGACGACGACGACTATGACGATGACGATTTAGCTAACAAGGAGGCCCACATAGAGGCCTACAAGCAGGGCGGGAACGCACAGAAAATACTGGACTCCTGGCAGGCGGGCAAGAGCAAGAAATCCCAGCAGCAGCAAAAACAATCCCCTGCTTCCCCAGATTCCCCCGAACAGGATTCAGGTGTCAAGCCCCTGGACAGCGGACTCCAGGCCCGTTTGCCCAGTCAGCCCAGGGATCTGGTGGCGCAGATTGTGAAGTCCCGCTTCGTGACCCTTAGCTGGGTGGAACCCCTCCAGAACGCCGGCGATGTGGTCTACTACACTGTCTATTACAAGATGAACAACAGCGAGAGGTAAGTAGTAGTAGAAGGAAATCATAGCATTACCCGCATAATTGGCATCCGCTTCATTAACCAACAATTAGCGGAGGTTAACCCGGTTTGCATAGTTAGCCAATCGCCTAATGGCTTCCTCTCATCAGTCAAGCGGAAATGATTTCGCTTACGATTCAATCCAACCGACTGTCTGTCTGTCTGGCTGGCTTTCATCCTGTGGCCCATTCCTGGCCCCCACTTATTCAAGGAGTTCGTTCGTGTGCTGCTAACAAGATTAGATACTAGAAATATCTTATTTGTCGCGTTTTTCGAATATTTAAAGATTTATCTAGCATCGTTTACATTTTAGCGATTTTAAAAATTGTGAAATATTTATATAATGAAGAAATTAAACTTATTCTTGAATGAATAATAACCGATTTTCAATAACCAATTTTATAAACACATTTTCAGGGAGCAAAAAATGGTTACCAAGTCGCATGACGATCAACAGGTCAATATTCAATCGTTGCTGCCCGGCAGAACCTATCAGTTCCGAGTGGAGGCCAATACCAATTTCGGCAGCGGTGCATCCTCCGCCCCACTGGAAGTCAGCACCCAACCGGAGGTGAATATTGCGGGTCCGCCGCGCAGCTTTGAGGGATATGCCCGTAATCACAAGGAGATCTACGTGAAATGGGGAGAGCCCGCGGTGACCAATGGGGAGATACTCAAGTACCGCGTTTACTACTCAGAGGTAACATATGGAATACATTTTAATCCTTTAACATTTAGCTGATTCTTTGAAATATTTATTTCCAGAACGACAGTGGTGCTGATCTATATCACGATAGCACTGCTTTGGATGCCGTTCTTACTGAGCTGCGGCCCAACACTGATTACGTGATCTCGGTGGTGCCATTCAATCGAAATGGAATGGGCGATTCCTCTGCAGAAATCCGTGTAAAGACTTTTTCCTCCACGCCATCGGAACCGCCCAACAATGTTACTCTGGAGGTGACTAGTTCCAGCGTAAGTAGATACAGATATTACAAAACGAATACTTTAAACTTATGATTTACTTTACCCAACTAGTCCATCACCGTTCACTGGGAGCCGCCGGCAGAGGAAGATCGCAATGGACAGATTACTGGCTACAAGATTCGTTATCGCAAGTACAAGGATGCGCCGCAGGTGAAGAGTACTCCTGCCAACATTCGTTATTTCGAGCTAAGCAGCTTGGACCGCAATGCCGAGTACCAAGTAAAGATTGCGGCCATGACGGTGAACGGATCGGGACCTTTTACGGAATGGTATCGCGCCAACACACTGGAGAACGATCTCGACGAAACGCAGGTGCCGGGCAAACCAGTTTGGATCAACATTCAGCCCGGAGCCAACAATATTGCCCTGCATTGGGGTCCACCACATCATCCGGAAATCAAGATACGCAACTACGTGCTGGGCTGGGGTCGTGGAATTCCCGATGAGAACACAATCGAGCTGAAGGAGACGGAACGCTATCATGTGCTAAAGAATCTGGAATCGAATATGGACTACGTTGTTTCGCTGAGGGCACGAAATGTGAAGGGCGACGGTCCACCTATTTATGACAACATCAAGACACGCGACGAGGAGCCCGTGGACGCACCCACGCCGCTTGAGGTTCCCGTGGGTCTGCGAGCCATCACCATGTCCAGCTCCTCCATTGTGGTCTACTGGATTGACACCATGCTGAACAAGAACCAGCATGTGACCGACAATCGCCACTACACGGTAAGCTACGGCATCACGGGATCCAATCGCTATCGCTACCACAACACCACGGATCTCAATTGCATGATTAATGACCTGCGACCCAATACGCAGTACGAGTTTGCAGTGAAAGTGGTCAAGGGACGCAGGGAGTCGTCCTGGTCGATGTCCGTGCTGAATAGTACGTATCAGAATGTACCGGTCACCCCACCGCGGGAGGTTTCAGTTCGCTTGGATGAGATGAATCCACCCAGTGTGATCATCCAGTGGATCCCGCCAAAGCACACCGTGGGCCAGATCACCGGATACAATATCTACTACACCACGGACACCACGAAGAGAGATCGCGACTGGTCAGTTGAAGCCTTCGCCGGCGAGGAGACCATGATGATGCTCCCGAACCTTAAACCCTACACTACGTACTACTTTAAAGTTCAGGCGAGAACTACCAAGGGCAATAACAATGCTCCCTTCTCGGCTCTGGTATCGTACACCACCAGTGCAGCGGTTATCATGCAGGAGGCCGACACCATAGCCAAGGGAATCGACAACGAGAAGCTGCTATACATTATCATTGCTGCTACAGCTGTCGTTCTACTGGTGGTGCTCTTGGGCGTTCTGATGCTGTGCCGGCGCAAGCCTCAATCCTCGCCAGAACACACAAAGAAGAGGTCCGTTCTCCTATTACCACTATAATCTTTTATATAAATTTTCTAAACTTTAAACATTTTACAGCTACCAAAAGAACAATGTGGGCGTTCCCAAGCCACCGGATCTATGGATACACCATGATCAGATGGAGCTCAAAAACATAGACAAGGGCTTGCACACAGTGACGCCTGTCTGCAGCGATGGAGCCTCCAGCAGTGGTGCTCTCACCCTGCCACGATCAGTGGTGCACAGCGAGTACGAGGTGGAGACGCCGGTGCCAGGTCATGTGACCAATTCGCTGGACAAGCGATCCTATGTGCCAGGATATATGAGTGAGTAGCAGCTAGTGAGTGAAAGTTATTGAAACATAAGCTATAACCATATTTTTACAGGCACCTCAATGAACGGAACGATGGAGCGACCTCAGTACCCGCGCACCCAGTACAGCCACCAGAATCGATCCCACATGACCATGGAGGCGGGTCTCTCCCAGCAGAGCCTAACCCAGCCGCAGAGCAACTCCATGGCTCAGACACCGGAGCATCCTTATGGCGGCTACGACGCCAACTTCTGGTGAGCAAAGTGGGCGGTGTTTTTGTTAGGCTTTTTTCGGTGTTAAATCTCCCATTTCGGTGCTAGAAATTGTACAAAATTCCCAGATAAATTGCCCTAGTTTTTAATCTTTGCTGCGAACAAAACAAGGAGACGAGAATGTGCTCGCGGACGCGTTGGGGACGAATCGATCCCAGTGTACAGGTCAATCTGCCGTATGGACCGTCGAGCAGGGTGATCAAGCTGAATAACAAAACGCTACCGCGGCGCGTTGAACAGCAGCTCCTACTGATGGCCTCGCCCTCGCCGTTCCTCAACTTCATGAACAAGTTCCGCTTGGACGAGATCCTGATCAACCACCAGTACAAGGGCGTCTACAGCATGCGCACAGCGGCGACCATCACCGAGCTGGCCAACTACACATGGAACGTGATGTCCGTCTCTGATCGCCAGCCGTATATCCGGCTGGCCCGGAAGGCGCAGCAGATTCAGCAAGCTCGAAAGCTGCGCTTTTTAGGCACCAGCAATCGGCCGGTGATTAAGAGGGGTTCTTAGTGTACCATTGTTGTTTGAAGCAGTCTTGGCCCTTGTTTAGTAGCATATAGAAAATTGTTTTAAATAAATAGTGAATCTCCTAATAAGCGGCCTTGTTTTTTGCCTATTTATTTCAGCAACGGCGCAAGCGGAGCTGCTGGCAATGGCTGTGTGTCTACCATTGAGAGTTCCAAGCGAGGGCATCCTCTGAAGAGTTTCAGTGTGCCGGGTCCACCGCCCACTGGCGGAGCCACGCCCATTAACAAGCATAGTGAGTATAGTAAAAAGTTCGTTTTTTTACAAATTAATAATCTTAAATTTATTTATACAGCTCCCGCCGTCACAATACGTCCACAAAACCAATCGCCATACAAGAAGCCATCGTTCTCGGCTGCCACGCCCAACCGCCTCCAGGGCGGTGGCTCGGTGGTCCACTCAACCGATGAGATTCAAAGACTTGCCCCCAGCACATCCACCGAGGAGCTTAACCAGGAAATGGCCAATCTGGAGGGCCTCATGAAGGATCTGAGCGCCATAACGGCCAACGAATTCGAGTGTTAACACTGAAGCCGCCTTAAAAATGTCCGGCTGGCTGAAAGTATTAGTCGTCAAACAATGGATGTTACTTGTTTTTTAGTTTCTGTTTTATATTATTGATTTAACTCGAATTTGTGAACTGCATTGAACCGACTTGAATTGGGTGGCCCTCCGGAGAGGTCCTTTTAGTTTTAGTTAATCAAATGTGCGATATATAAATGACCGAAAAGAACTGTAAATACGAACGACGCCGCCATATAAATTTTTAAGCCTAGATACACACATTCATACCTATAAATATAACTTAAGAATAGTTAATTATCGGATAAGGGAGGTGTAAAAACGAGGACAGAAAACAGAGTAAAGAATTGGAGGAACAGCGTTTATTGTGCAGGATCTGTCTCTAAACTGTCACGCGACATTTCGTATTTATCACTCTGCATCATCTTAATTTAATCCGCCAGCGAAAGCGGATAGTCTAAGTCTACATACATATGCCATTCTATATTCATATGCATACAGCATCTAAGCTAAGTTTCATACTAGTAAAGACCCTAAGAACGTAACTTTTATGCTATTATAACCCCAACAAACAATCAAAACAATTCGATATATACTTGCCTCTTAAAGTGTTCTTTTATCATTTTTTTTACATCAATCAATACGCATGAGTTTGATACGTGCCATTTCAATGATTCGTCGCCAATCCCACAAAACTACTTAAGCTATAAAGTCAAGTTCTAGACTGTAAGCCAGCAAAGCATTTACGATTTAAACTATACTATTATTAAGGGTGGTATGACATTGCCTGTTTTACCGCGCAATAAATAAATTAAACTTTTTGAGAAGATTTTGGTGTGTTCAAAGTTTTTATTGCCATGAAAGTTTACTATTTTTATGCGTTGTTCATCGAAAATCACTGTATTCAACATTGCTTTGCACAACAATCTCATTCGACTCAGCAAAACATTGCAAACAATCCCAAATGCACAAAGATGGCATTTGAAAATTGTGAAAGTTTTATTGTATTAAACGTAACCTTTGTAATCAAAAGAAAATTGCTAAATATATAAAGAATATGTGGAAATGAATTCTCACTGTGATTTATTTAAAATGGTTTATTTGCATTACAAACACTTTATTCTTCTCTTTCAAGAAACATCGTTACCTGAACCCTCCAAACTTTGTAGGTGGCAAAACGCAATTGTATTTTATAGACGCCTTGCGGAAGGGGAAGAGTTTTTAGAAAATCATCCGAAAATTCTAGATTATCCAAAATGATGTCATGCTGTAAGGACATATCAAAATTACACTTTTCTGATCATTTCTAAGTTTTTAAACTTACATTGTACGGACAGGAGTGATTTAAATTGGACCGGGTCATGACGGCATTAATTACAAGTCCTTCGAATGACAAAAAATTGTTCCTTCCTAAAAGTTGGCAGAAATCTGTACTGATATTGTACAGAAACGGACGAAACCCATTGTAGCGCCGATAAATAGACCAATTTATCTGAGGCAATAATCAAATATATTGCCAAAAGAAGTTGAGATTAATTTGAGTTGGGGAACTTACCCATGAGTTGTTTATAGGCAGTTCAAACAGCTTTAGGTAAAAATCGGCAGCAACTCGACCTCTTCCAAGCAAATTAAGTTTACATTTTTTAAATTTTGCGTACGATTCGTTATAGGATTCGCAAAGCATGTTGGTAAATCTTGATTTTGACCGTCCGCACTCGCTTCTCAAATTCGAGCTCAACAAAATAGCGGCTGTTATTGTTATTAGAAGGCATTTCACGGATAAATGTGACACCATTATTGCAGAACGACTATTACAATCTGTTTAAAAATATTTATGCTACCAATTCTGCCACCACTTAACCTCCGATCTGGAAATCATTAGCTAAAGCTCATTGATTTCGTTTGTGTCGCAAAAAAATATAATTATAATCAGGGTGTAATATTTGGTAATAGTCATTACTGCAAATCGGTTGGTACAATTTGTAATGTCAATATTATATTGATTTTATGATTGCTTCGCGCGTTTCATTCGAAGCTTTTAGTATACTTTTAGGCATTTTTATTTTAAAATTTTGAAAATTTTGAGCTACTGGTAAACTATTTGTCAACATTATATATCTTGAGTTGATTAAGAATTTCTTATTGTGATCCATAAGAAAAAAATTTAAGTTGTTCGTAATAACTGAACATTATTTGTGTTAAGCATTAAAAATCCTTGAGATGGAACAATAACCTTATTATTGTTCCCAGCAGTCAAGCATTCTCAAATCATTGAGTTATCCAACCGCAGTGATGACGTAAATGTTTGGGGCGGCATTAGCATTTTCTTATCACCATATTTGTAGTCTTCGTTTTAACTTCAACCGAAATATATTTTTTAGTGCTCAATTTAAACTCAGCTTGAGTGGTTCTATTTGTTAAAGTGCACATCAGCGCTGTTATTTATTTATTTTGTAAAGTTTTTGCGACAGTGAAATGTGAAATATATAAAAAATAACGATTTTGTTTATAATTTTTTTATTATTTTTTTTTGTTATGTTTTTAAGGTTGAATGTGGGAAGCACTGAGCCTCAGCCGCACTTGGTAAGCTTGCATATCCGAAACTTTAAGAAACCCTGGCTAGAAAACTTCAACCAAATTCTGGAGGGCTTATCTCTTGCTGATATGAGAAATAAAATGGAATTTTATTCAAGCTAAGCACACCACTTAAAAACGGTAGCAGGCTTGCCGGAGGCCGTAGATACTTATACGTATCTCCCGCCTCCGGCAAACCAGCTACAGTTTTTAAGTTATATTTGGGACAACACGGCATGCTTAACAGCGAGCAGAACAGCATTGTCCTTCAGATGGACAACACTCGTTAAAATTTATATAAATACAAAAGATACTGAAGTCGATGCTTAAATTAATATACCTTTTAATTTTAATTATACAAAATATTGCAACTGCCAAATTTACCAACATACTTGTACCGTTAATTTTAAAGATATTGCTCACAATATAAATTAAGCAAATTTTTTATGTGTACGTTACAATTTTAGAATAAATCAGCCATAATTTAAATTAAAAACAAGAGAGAACGCTATAGTCGGGTTCGTGTCCCGACTATCTAATACCCGTCACTCAGCTAAAGGGAGTGCGAACGCTGTGTCGGGTTGGTGTCCCGACTAATAATCGTAACTCAGCTAAAGGGAGTGCGAGGGAGATAGATATATGTTGACAATTTATAAAGCGTATAACTTTTTAATGAATGGTCCGATTTGAAAAATGTCTTCTACATTTTGATAGGTATAAATATACACAACAAAATTGCATTTCTACTTCTCGGAAATCTTTAAAGATGTGGGCGCAGGACCAATTTTAAAATCGTTAGTGGGCGATTGTGGGCGTTAGAGGGGGCGTGGCGCTCGGCTAAAATAAACTTGCGCTGCGTAGGAAGCCAAAGAATATGTGTGGGAAATCTCAACCTTCTAGCTTTTGTAGTTTCTGAGATCTCAGCGTTCATACAGACAGACAGACGGACAGACGGACAGACGGACAGACGGACATGGCTAGATCGACTCGGCTAGTGACCCTGATCAAGAATATATATACTTTATGGGGTCGGAAACGCTTCCTTCTAGCTGTTACATACTTTTGCACGAATCTAGTATACCCTTTTACTCTACGAGTAACGGGTATAACTATCTTTATTCTCGGCCTTGTAGATGAGTCCCCCATTTTAACACTATTACTACGAGAAAACTTGGAAATAGTACAAGTTTTTTGCCATTAATCCTAAATCCTAATTTTCCTCAAAAAAAAGAGTATTTGGTTCTGTTGCCACAATAAGGTGACTGGGGAAGCAATTTAAAGTCCATTCATGCAACTTTATCATCGTTTTTATTGGTTTGTGTACATTTTTTTAAAATACGTAACTAAGGTTGCTCCCCTTAAAATGCCATATCTCAGAATATAATTGTATGACAGCTGTCAAATTTCGTTTTTTCAAATATTGATTTCAAAAGACTTAACTCTGGGAACAATAAAATATGTAAATAGGTTTTGAGGAGAGTTCAAAATATTCTCCACAGATAATATCAGAATATTGTTAGTACAATTATTGAAAGCGAAAAGCCTAAGCCTAAGAGCACTGAGCACTTTCTCTGTTAAAGCCGCGAAGAGAGCCGGCCAAAGACCACCAAAACGTGTAGCTTGTTTGGATCGCTGGAGCTCGAGCCGCCAGTAGTTTGTGCCAGGCAGCCGTTCAGTGTGGAACTTGATTGCGGTTCCCGCTAGAAGCCAGTTTCATTGCCCCGCGGATCTCAGTGTGTCAACGTCAACAGAAGACAATTGGAAATCGAGGCTTACGGCCAGTGAAATCTGATTTGAATTTAAATCAGTTACGGCTTTTGTCGACTCTGAACAAAATGAACAAGCTTCCCATGAAAGCGTGGCGTTCCACAGCCTCAACTACCAATCTGCGACGAAGTGTGTCCAAGATTGGTGGGGCAGGTTCCAGGCGCTTGGAGAGCCGCGAAAGCTCCACGGGCGTGGCCACTTGTCCTCATCTGGCGGATCCGGAGGAAGCCAGTGCCCCGCGAATACACTCCACATCCGAATGGCAGAATGCCCTGCCCTACAATCAGATACCCGGACCGAAACCCATCCCCATTCTGGGAAACACCTGGAGGTAACCGAAACCGAATACCGCAAACCGAAACCAATCGAAAACGAAAGACTGAAGACACAAACTCGTTCGCTTTCTCCCAGCGAACTGCACTTGCAATAAAACCAAACACTCTCCGTTTCACTTGACCCAATTAACTTGGCCAGCTTGTTCGACACTCATTGAATTAGCCGCGATGATGAAGTTCGTATTTACCGCCGTTTATTTGTTTGGATCTTGTGCAAAAACACGCAATCCCAGCTTGTTTTCCTCCCCTCCTCAACGATGATGTATGCTAACTAAATATATTTAGACGGCTGTAAAGCCTAACGATTCTTGTTAAATGTGCGTGCTGGATTCCAGCAATTTACACCTGTCTAATCGACAGCACGTCATCCAGTTAATTAGCGTTCAATTAGCGTTGAATTCAAGGTCGCCCTAATAACGTGTGAAATTTTGCTGCACGCTGACGAATTTTGCTCACAAATCATATTTTTGCGCCTTTGGAAAAAGTCAATGCATCTTTCATTGTCATAGAGATTTGTTTAACCTTGACTACTCCACACAGATTGATGCCAATAATTGGTCAATACACCATCTCCGATGTGGCGAAAATATCATCGCTGCTGCACGATCGTTATGGCAGAATTGTGCGCTTTGGAGGTCTCATAGGAAGGCCCGATCTTTTGTTCATCTACGATGCCGACGAAATTGAAAAGGTAAGCTTTGATGGCACGCCAGAGGCCTGGGACTTTCCGCTTGACCAGCGAACCACGAAGGCACCAGGCCATTACACACATTTCTGGCACCGTACAAATTGCTCACAGTTGTCAGATATTAAGCTATGGTAATTTGATAAATTTTCAGTGCTACCGAAGCGAGGGGCCCACTCCCTTCCGTCCCTCGATGCCCAGTTTGGTCAAGTACAAGAGCGTGGTGCGCAAGGATTTCTTCGGGGAGCTTGGCGGCGTGGTCGGAGTGTAGGTGGATTCTTGTAATTTCTTGAATTTGTAATTTATTTGGAACCCATTCAGGCACGGAGAACCCTGGCGAGAGTTCCGCTCGCGTGTCCAGAAGCCCGTTTTGCAGTTGTCCACCATCCGGCGATACTTACAGCCCCTGGAGGTCATCACCGAAGATTTCCTGCAGCGCTGCGAGAACCTGCTGGACGAAAACGAAGAGCTGCCCGAAGATTTCGACAATGAGATTCACAAATGGTCCTTGGAGTGTAATTATAAATTGTAAAAACCTTTTAAAAGACATTCGAGACAGAATATCTAATCACCAGGCATTGGTCGCGTCGCCCTGGACACTCGTTTGGGCTGCCTGGAGTCGAATCTTAAGCCAGATTCGGAGCCCCAGCAAATCATTGATGCCGCCAAGTACGCCCTGCGCAATGTGGCCACTTTGGAGCTAAAAGCTCCCTATTGGCGCTACGTTCCCACGCCCCTGTGGACGCGCTATGTGAAGAACATGAACTTTTTTGTGGGGTAATTACACTCCAATAACCTTTGATCTACAAACACTAATTTCCGCTGTATTTAAGGGTCTGCATGAAATACATTCAGAGTGCCACCGAGAGACTGAAGACCCAAGATCCCAGCCTGCGTAGTGGCGAGCCTTCGCTGGTGGAAAAGGTGATCCTGTCGGAGAAGGACGAAAAGATAGCCACCATAATGGCTCTCGATTTGATTCTAGTCGGAATAGATACAGTAAGTTCAAATGGATCAAAGACTACTGATATAAACTCTAATTAATTGTCAGATATCCATGGCCGTTTGCTCCATGCTGTACCAACTGGCCACTCGCCCAGCGGAGCAGCAAAAGGTTCACGAGGAGCTGAAGCGACTGCTGCCGGATCCCAACACACCACTCACAATCCCGCTGCTCGATCAGATGCACCACCTGAAGGCCTTCATCAAGGAGGTGTTCCGCATGTACAGCACGGTGATTGGAAACGGACGAACTCTGATGGAGGACAGTGTGATCTGTGGCTACCAGGTGCCCAAGGGCGTCCAGGCGGTCTTTCCCACAATTGTCACGGGTAACATGGAGGAGTATGTGACGGATGCGGCCGCTTTCCGGCCGGAAAGATGGTTGAAACCACAGCATGGCGGAACTCCGGGCAAACTGCATCCGTTCGCCTCGCTGCCCTACGGCTATGGAGCTCGGATGTGTCTGGGTCGTCGCTTCGCCGATCTGGAGATGCAAATACTGCTGGCCAAGCTTCTGCGAAACTACAAGCTGGAGTACAACCACAAGCCACTGGACTACGCAGTCACTTTCATGTATGCCCCGGATGGACCGCTCCGGTTTAAGATGACGCGAGTTTAGGTTGTAGATTTAAGATTACGATTTTATACACTCTCTTTGTTGTAAATAATAGTTAATTTACATACAAACTCTGAAGCTTTTATACATAAGATTAAAAAAGAACTAACAAATGCGGCTTTCATTTCCTTTTCCACATACGATACCAGTTTTTCACAGTCTTCAGACTCTGATGGGCATCTGCCTTTGTTTCGCCCTTCAGTTGGAATACTATATCCGATTTGTAGGAGTCGCGGGCCTCTTCCAGAATGGTCCCAAATATCTCGCACTGAATATTCGATGTGAGCTTCTTTTCGTTGTAGTTGCGATCCTTGAGGCGATCGTAGAGCGTCTTATTGGGACAGGTGACCACGAAGACGGCCTGAAACCAGCGCTCTGGGAAGAAATCACAGCCATGGTATTCGACGATGTTGCCGCCCTTCGCCATCAGGGGCTCCAAGTGGTCCATCAGCTGAACAATACAATAGAGTTACTTAAATGTTAGATAATGGGGTTCTGACCCACCTTTTCTTCGTCCAAAATGGGACAGTCGTACTCCTCGTCATATTCCTCCACAAACTCATTTTCCTTGGCGATCTTGGAGCAGTCCAGCCACTCGAACTTTAGTTGGGCGGACAGGCGTTCGCATAAATAAGATTTTCCAGCCCCGGGAGTGCCTGAAATTTAATTAAAAATTATAAAAAACACAAACATTACAAGAGGACCATCGAATCGCACCTGTTATTAATATGTTTGGCTTGGCATCTGGTGCTAGTTCAGACATCTCGTTTATTTATCAGTCGATGGTGCTCTTAAATAGACTCTTAATAATGCTAATATTGGTAAAAACTCCTGATTTCTTTTTAAAAGGCCAACACGTGAGGCAGTTGAATTGTTTATATTTTCTATGGGCAATGGTGCTGCCAACTTGTTTTCTTTTTGTGTACCAGCAGAGTTGCCACTGTGCCCGATTGGAGCTACCTGACTATTTCTTTGGCGCAAAAAAGCTAAATGTATTTAAAAATTACATTTTTTTTTTAGACAAAATTATGGAAAACTAATTCAAAATTGCCTCTTTTATTTTTTGTCCAAATAAATAATATGCATGCTGTTTTGGCACAAAAAAAAACACATTTTTTTAAATTGGTAACTAGACTTGGTTATTAATTTATAAGAAAATTTTATTTATCAGACTTATTTTTGATATATTCCATATATTGAGGGAAACTCTTACTTCTATGTATCTACTTCACCTACATTCTACAGAATGAAGACAATTTTTTGAATCAATTAATTTTATAACACTAGCTAATGTTGTATTAACCTAACAAAATTCTAACGTACCTAGGGGCCTTTTTGGCGTCGTTTTGTCTATCTTCATTTGTCCGAAACCGTTGCTTTTTGCTAGCTCTCTCTTTCTCTCTCAGAATCTGTATCTCTTCCTCCGCTTTGACATTCCTCCTTTTTCCTTCGTTCGTTCCTTGAAAGCTATTTATGAAACTGAAAACTGTCCGGTGCTGAACGGTGCTGAACTTAAGCGGTGCGGAAGAAAATGGAGCCGAAAAACGATCCGGAGAGGCGCCAGCATGTGCCGTACATCCTTAATGGGGAACTATACCGCATCGAGAACCAGGTGGGCGATAATGTTACGGTCAAGTGCTGCTACTGTCCGCCGGATCGGATTTATCGCGGCAGCGTGCGCTCAACTGGTAATTTTCACATGCATATTAAGGTAGGTGGATATGGTATACTTTTAATTTGCGGAAAAAAAGAGCATTTGTAATCCCTGCGAACAGAGGCGTCATAGTTCGTTGTTGGGCAAGCTTCACGAAATGAAAGTGGCTGCTCTGGAGGAGCGCCGTGATCGCATCATGAAGAACCGGCGCTTTGGAAAGCCGCGCAAGAAGACCCCAACACCAACCCCAGTGACCCCTACGCCATCTACAAGTACAGCTGCGCAGAGCAGTTCTGGCGTTTTTCTGGAAATTCCGACTCCGGCTGGAAATGAAAGCCACGAGTTGAAGATCAAAACGGTGTTCCAGCGCCACAAGCAAGAGCAAGAGGGAGCCACTCGCAGGGTAAGCTTAAGTGTGCAGGAGTGAGATGTCCACATCTCACCTCGCTATTCACCGTTAGAACAGTGCCTTATGTATGCAGGCATAGACTGTATCTACTCGCACGGCGAAATAGCTCAATGAAACTTGGAGCTTGTATGGGTGTGCTAATCTATCTGTCTCTTTCCAGTCCGGAGATTCAACTTCAGATAACGCCGTCCCAGCTAATCCACCTAGTATCTCCAACAGCCTTGGTGTTCTGGTTCAGGATGTAAGTAATTCAGTTTATCTCTAAGGATTATAAAATATTTATACTTTACAAACTAGATCGACTTAAAAAGTATACATATTATTAAAAAACTAACTAAAACTATAAATAAACAACAAAATATTTTAAAGGTTTATTGCACTTCTAAAGTGCTTCTATGGAATTACATTTTTTTTCTGTCAAATATATGCGGCTTTGGTACTATAAAAACTGATAACTTATATTATAAGTTTTAAAATTAAAGCTGATTACCTAATTCTAGCAATAACATTTACGAAAATTCAAATTTTTTGTATTAAGTAGTTCGCTTTCTTAACACAACTTTTGTAACAATAAATAAGACTTAAAGAATTATACATCCATTTTATATAATTCCAGCTCCCTAATATCTCGGTTGAGGGACAGCCTTCCGGTTTGACCCCTTCTACTGCTGCTAGTGTGTCCTATTTGGGTCGTCCAGTCAAGCCGGAGCAACAGGGCGGTTCTCCATTCCTGTCTGATCAGCCGGCAGCCATCGACTTGAGCAGGGCTCCATCGTTGCAGGGCGAAAGCAAATCCGGTGGCTCGCTGACCTCGTCGATGGAGGACGTCTCCATGGAGTACTCGCGGTCTCAATCTCTCTCACAATCGATGTCATTGACCCACTTCCTGGACCACCCCCAGCGCGATGTCCTGCAACGCTTGGAGCGCACGATGGCCCAAATAAGCCAGGAATTGCACTGCCGCAACCGAATCGAGCACAACCGCATGCTGTTGGAGGCGGCCAAGTTCAAGTTTCTGAATCCCAATTTTCAATTTGAGCCCACTCTGTAAGAGGGTTGTCTTTCAAACCGTTAAAGTGCCTTAAAGACATTCTTTTGTAAACATTAAGATTCGGGATCAATCTCATTCTATAAACGGCACATTTAAAAGCTATGATAATGAAATCAATATATTTGTAAAATTTAGGAATAACTGTATATATATTTTCAGTTTTTGATTTTGATTTTTTTTTATTTCCACATTTATTTTAATAAAGTGTATTAAAACGTTTTCAGTTGTCTGTTTTAAAAATACGTTGCATACAAAATAAAATACTCGCATACCGAATAATCGAGCATTCGGTATTTCTCAACTAACCGCAAATGGTTATACTCAGTCGGCTTTGTTCTGTTTCTGTTTCTTTTTATTGTTTGTTGTTAGGAAACCGTACCATTAATGTTTTAAATAATGGACGATAGAAAAACTTTAATTAATTTAGATGATGAGAGTGGTGATGATGATGCGACCGTGGCCCAGAAAGATATGGGTCAGGGCTCAAAACCGATACAAGATTTCGGAGCCATCCAAAGCGAAGAACCCACAACTAGTTCTTCAGGTAGAGAAGCTCAAGGTATTTTCGGGGAATCACCACTTATTAGGTGATGAACCGCCTCTGCAATTAGGCGACAATGCAATGCCTATTCCTCCTGAGATTGTAAGTATTTAACAAAATGTAATTGTAATGACTCATAGCTCGGATTTCAAGTGAGCTTATCTTTGGTCACTCATATTAAGTTTATTACTTAATGCTCTTTGTATTTCAGCCAGTAAATGGCAATGCGGGCACTTCAAATAGGAATATTAACAATTCGGAACCCATTTTCCATCTAAGATCTCGCACAGCGGCGTCTTCAACACCGAATTACGAGGTATTTCTAATCTATGGGCCGGAGTTTGGACTGCAAGTCTTATCAGTAAGTTTTCCACTTGCAGAGCTTGGACTACGAGGTTTGCGAAAACACGCTCTTCCAAGAGGAACAGCGAAAAAGGCTAACAGAACGATTCTCCCTGCGCAAGGACGTCATAAGATGGATCATATTTATACAGATTGGCATTATCACGGCACTTATCGCCTGCACCATAGATATTATAATCGAGGAGCTGTCGGATTTGAAATACAGTTTCCTGTTCAATGGTAATAAATCCTTTCGATAAATTATTTATTAGTTAAGAAATTATAATTTATGCTTACTCATTTTTAGCTGTTCAAAGAAACGTCCCGCTGAGCGATTCGAGCACAGGCGACCTTGTGATACCCTACCTTTACTGGCTTCTATTCAGCATTGTGCCCGTGGCCTTCGGAGCAGCCATGGTCACCTACATTGAGCCCATCACCGCTGGCAGTGGTATTCCGCAGGTGAAGAGCTACCTGAATGGCGTGAAAATACCGCGAATTGTACGGATTAAGACGCTGGCTGTGAAGGCCATCGGAGTGATAACCTCAGTGGTGGGCGGATTGGCCGGAGGAAAGGAGGGTCCTATGATTCATGCCGGCGCCGTGGTGGCTGCCGGAATCTCGCAGGGCAAGAGCACCACGTTTGTGAAGGATTTCCGGGTGTTCAAAGCATTCCGGGATGATCACGAGAAGCGTGATTTCGTTTTGGGAGGCGGAGCAGCCGGAGTTTCAGCCGCTTTCGGTGCACCAATCGGAGGAATGCTGTTCTCCTTGGAGGAAGCGGCTAGTTTCTGGAATCAGAATCTCATTTGGCGCACACTAGTGGCCTCCATTATCAGCGTGTTTACCCTGAACATTGTCTTATCAGCCTACCACGGCCTAAACGATTTCACATTCACGGGTCTCTTCAACCTGGGCAAGTTCGATGCGCCGTTGAAGTTCGACTACTTCGAGCTGCCCATCTTCATGCTGCTGGGAGTAGCCGGAGGATTGCTTGGAGCCGCCTGGAACTCACTGAATACCAAAATCAATAAGTTTCGAAAGCGCTTCATTCCCTGGAAGATCGGGAAGGTTATTGAAGCGGTAGTAGTGGCAATGCTGGGCGTGACACTTGCCTGCCTAATGATCTACTTCATCAACGACTGTCGTCCGTTGGGCAATGATCCAACCAACCATCCTGTGCAGCTTTTCTGCGAGGACAACGAATATAATGCAGTGGCTGCCCTGTGGTTTCAAACGCCTGAAGCTACAGTACGATCTTTGTTCCACGATCCTCCAGGTGGGAGATTATCGGAAGATCATATTTTAAATATTAATATCTAATTTATTTCCAGGCTCGCATAAAATCCTAACGCTGGCTCTGTTCACAGTCGTCTACTATGTGTTATCCTGTGCCACCTTCGGCCTCAATGTATCCTTGGGTGTGTTCATCCCAACTGCTCTGGTGGGCGCTGCTTGGGGGCGTCTTCTGGCCATGGTTACGTTCTACATGTTCCCACAGGCGGTATAAGTAATTGTACGTTTGATAATCAGAAATGTAACCCATGCTTTCGGTTTCCAGGAGTTTCTTCATCCTGGTAAATATGCTCTGATCGGAGCAGCCGCTAATTTGGGTGGAGTGCTCCGGATGACCATCAGCTTGTCGGTTATTCTAATGGAAACAACTGGCGTGGAGAGCTCCTTCTTCTTTCCCCTCATCATTGCACTAATCACCGCCAAATGGGTGGGCGATTACTTCAATGAGGGCATCTACGACACCCAAATCCAAGTGAATCATGTTCCCCTGCTGACCTGGGAGCCCCTGCCGCAATATAAGGGCCTGACAGCTCACGAAATACTGAGTAATCCTGTGGTCTGCATCAAGCTTCGCGATAGCGCTCATTACATTTATAAAATGCTGAAAAAGTGCGATCACAATGGATTTCCCGTGGTGGATGATGTGCAAGGAGTAAGAATAATAATAGTAGTATTAATTTCACTTTCGTACTATAAATTTGGATAATCTTAAAGGATCGTCGTTCGGAGGGCCGCGTTTGTGGCATCATCTTGCGTTCGCAGCTGATTGTCATTTTGCTGAAATCTCTGTACGTGGAGAACAAGCGATTCTGGTTGCCAGAAACCTCTATTCAGACGTTTAGAGACGTCTATCCGCGTTATCCATCAATTAAGGTAATCATCAAGATAACAGATTGTTTGGATCAAGAGCTCATAACAATTATTTCAGAGTGTTCGCCAGCTAGATGAAAAAATCAATTACACGGTGGACTTGTCCATGTTTATGAATCCATCGCCGGTTCGAGTCAATCCAGTGAGTCATTTTCGAACTGCAAACTCCACTAACCTTGCACTAATTAAACATTTTTTTCTTAGCATGATTCGGTTCCGAGAATTTTTCAGATTTTCCGCGCATTGGGCTTGCGTCACTTGTTGGTTATCAACAATGAGAATCGCATTGCTGGCATTATAACGAGGAGGGACTTCATCTATAAGTAACTTGTTTGCATTCAATGCAAGTCTATGAATATCTATCGAATGCCAAAAGTGTCTGTAATAAGAGATAATAAATATTTTATATACCTTTGTAATTAGCACAACGTACATTATACATTCAAAAAAATCAGATTCACTTTTGATAAACTTTTGTTTTAATCTGCTCATTACGTTTTTACAACTTAATTTAATGACCTTAAACGCGTAAAATATAATCAATAGTATTCACAAGGAATTGTACAAGGTTTGTGTGTGGGTGTTTTGTTTGATTTGTATAAAAATACGTTACATTTATGTAAAAGTAAAAGGGCTTGGTTTTATAAAATCTTAAAACGCTAAACAGACGTGTTCTGGATCCTAAATACTAGCACAACTGTCTCGAATCGGATTGCAGTGCAAAAAACGTTAAAAATATACGTGACTTATCATGTGGGCTTGCGATTGTGTTTAAGGTGTGTGTGTGTGGTTTTATATCGACTTTAGACCCTAATGCTAAAAGCGCATCAATAAAACAAGACGCTGCCGTGGTAAAACTAATTCTAAAAGTTATGCAACGTAAGCCTATAAAATTCTTATTTAGGAGCAAAACGCCTAAGATTAAATGACTTTTTGTACAAAATGAAACAGAGCTTTCCTTCGATCAAATATCCAATAACCCAATGCCATGCCGGACTTGCACCAGTCGATGTTCGATCGTAATAGCTGCAATCTCGATTACCGCGTCCAGGAACTGGTATCACATTTAAAAACAAACTTTTCATCCAAATCCTCCTGCATCTCCTTCTCTTCAGCGTGATGTGAATGAATCTGGCCAAGCAGCGATCGTGTTTGTCGTCCTTGCCGGTTAGCTCTCCATGGGTCGCACTTGCTGCAGTGCCTCTGCATTTGGTGTAGCCGCTGCTGCAGCCGCCGCACTATTGCAATGTTGCTGCTGTGACGGCGCATTGGCATTGGTGGTCGAGTCCGCGGCCAAAATGCTACTGTTGCACATCGAGTGGGAGGTCGAGGATACTGCTGATGAGGCCAGCACATTATTTACTGCCGATCCACTGCCTTGTGGCACCGAGTTGACCGTCTGGACTAATCCGTCGGGATTTGGAGCAGCGCCACTCATCAAACCGCTGACTGCAGTCGGCACCACCTTGTACCTGTTGTAGACGCGATAGGGCGTCTTCGAAGTATCCTTCTGCTGTACCGTCTTGGTCTTGCTGGCGGATCCCCAGCCGCTGGCATTGATTTGGTCCGCCGTCTTGCCCAGCAGCCAGTCGATGCAGTTCTGCTGCAGTTGCTCGCTGACGTGCTGCTGCAGCCACTTGTTGACGTAGGTCTGGAAGTGGGCGTATTTGGCCTGAGTGACGCGGCAATGACTCTGTGTAAATGGAAAGGTAATAGAATCAGTAAAGATGGTTTCCATATTAATTTGTGCCACACTCACCCTCTTGGCACGACGCACTGCATCGTACTTAAGTAGCTTGAGATTCTTGCTGGTCACAAAGCATCGCCCGTTGCTGGCATTTGTGCTGATCTCGTCGCGATCGTTGAAGGCATACTGCTCGGCCAGGCCCACCTGTGGGGTGCCCAGTCTTTCCGGCACGCGTTTGCCGCCCCAGCTGTTATTGTTGTTATTATTATTATTGTTGTTACTGCCGCCGACCGGGGGATTAGTGATATTGTCGACCGAGATGGAGTCACCTGCTGACGCAGCTGCTGCAGTCGCCTGCTGCTCGCTGCGACTTCGTTTCTGCTCAAACAACTGACGCACTTGCTCCTCGTGCAGCTGCGACCGGCGCTTGTTGCGCAACAAAAAGCGCGCCTTGCGTTCTCCTCCTCCTCCTCTCGCTGGCCCAACTGGAATGAGAACAATGCAAAAATCAGTCTTCATTGTGCATAATTGCGACAATTGCCGGCGGCAATGCAGCCAAGAGCAATTGAAACACGGCGGCAATTCAACATGCTCACAGAATTTACGAGATTACTTAAAGCTGGGAATGCCGAGATGTGTGGGTTGTGTATTGTAGCATTACGGAACAGTTAGATTAGATTCAGTTAGGTACGGGAGGAGTAGCGAGATACAGAGAACCCAAGATGATGGAGGGGTGGTAAATACCAGGCCAAAAAACACAAAGCCAAAGGCAGAGACTCACACGCACAGTTGGACAAAAATACGGGTTAGGATCGGAACGGAACGAAACGAAACAAAATCAATCACATTTACCAGTACCATAAACAACAACAAACCAATCGAAGGCTTAAACTAAGTGAAACGAAGAGTTCTACAATGCGATGACGACTTACCTTGCTTAAACTTAAGTCTGTGTGGCAATTACTGAGTTCGTTTGCTGCTCTAACCCCAGAAAAATAGGATAGTCCCCGACCGACCCCATCAAATGCCCATATCCCTCTGATACAGTAATATGTCGAATATGTCTTTTTAATGGGCTGCTCCAGATATATTTCTCAATTTCACTCTCCAGTAATGTCCACAGCTGTGATTGTGTGTGCTATTTAATTTACAATTATCGAGTGTGTGGAGTGTGTGTGTTCTTATGCCTAGATATAAAAATGTTACCGAATTTAAAAGACATTTGGCTGCTTCCTTTACAAAATTAGCTACTAAACGTTTTACACATAATAATACATACATTGACCGATTACCATTAGCATTAGCGTTACGTTATGTACAGTTAAAACACGATAATTAATATATACTTTTTTGTGTACGGTGTAATTTAGGCCTACGGGTAAGCACGATAATCTTCTGACCACCATCATCATCATCAGCAGCACCACTCACACACACCACACCCCAAACCACACACCTTTACCATCTTGATCCTGATCTTTTTCATCTTTATCCTCATCCTTCGGATCTCCGATCACCCGATATTTCAGACTGTCTATCGCTATAGATAACTCAAGGCATAACGAAATCAGAAGGGAATGCAACAAGCGCGTGCCTACGTTATTGTTGTCATGATCTACTATTTTACATAATGTCTGTCTTTATGCATGTTTGTTTGGTTTTGTGGGTGGATTTCTACATTTAATTGAGGTTCTGTTTGGGTTCTGTTGTTTCCTCATTGGTTATTGCAAATTTCTGTTTCGTGTCTTTGGGCAAACAATGCATTACATTTAATGTGTGTGAGTGGGTGGTGGTGGTGGGTGTTGAGTGTGGTGGTTGGTAGTGGTGGTGGTGGTGGGTGAAAAGGTTTGGTGTTTCAATTTCTCTTATTTTGGTTTTGGTAATCAAAAAACAAATTCATTTATTACTATTTCATTTTGCAATATGACTTTTTCTTCTTCTTATTCAATGAAATTATCAAAACTATGTTATTTCAAGCCTTGGTATTGACCTGGTACGAAAAAATAAATTGGAAAAAATGAGAGAAAAGAATGCAAAAAAGCATTAATTAGTGAATATTTTCTTGTACTTTTTATGTATTTTCTTTGCTCGTATGCAACAAGCAGCGTATTCATTTGTATGCATACGAAATGGCGGCGATTAATAAGTTGGCGGCATGTTGATAAATGATACCGAAACGAAAAGATACAATAAAAGAAATAAAGTTACAGCTGGCGAAACAAGGAGAGGTAAATAATAGAAAGTGCAGCGGCGAAAGTTTAAATGGTAAACAACAGATAGAAAACCGAAAATTGAGATATATAATATACAGGTATATTTATATACAGAATGCAGTACGTAAGGATGTGGGCAGTCTTGTCCATCGTCTAAATCAGGTGACAGGTTTGTATGTACAGTGGAAGGTACCGAAATCACAACTCATGAGTAGAACAGGGATCAAAAACGTAAACGTAATCGAAATGAACAACGAAATACACAAAACAACATGGTTAACCACTCTTCAAGCACACACCACACAAAGCTGCTCCGGCTCCGGAGCATCTCATCGCTGCCTCTTCGCACTCACCTCGGCAGTATCTTCCTCCTCCTCCGTTTTGATATCGGACGCCTCTACAATGTTGTCGTTACCCAGCGCCGAACTCGAGCCGGCATTATTCCCGCTGCCGCCGAGCGCAGGATTCGCCAATCGTTCTACATATTTGCTGAACTTCTGGGCCTTCAGCGCAGCCGGCTTATCGACTTCCTCGGGCTCAGAGTCGAGCAGCTCGATGGTTACACGGCAATCAATTTTGTACTGCAAAATATGTTTTTATTAGCTAATTTGTTTCATTTTGATATTTTCATTCAACTCACAATGTACACTTTGAAGCAATTCTCGTCGTTGAGAATGCTTTCCGCCTTCCGCTGATACGACATCTCCCGGTCAAAGGTCTTGTGCGCTTCTCGACAGAGCCCGCCGGTGCAGCCTCGCCTTTGCTCCGTGGCAAACAGCTCAACACAATCCAGGGCGGCTCGCTCTGTAACACAATATTGCAGCTGACGAACGGCATTCGAGACAACCTGAGGGAGAATAAATATTAATTAATATATCTTTTAATTAGGGATATCATTAAGACTAAAAAAACCTACTTTATCCAGCGTGAAAGAGATGTAGGCATAGATGCCAAACATTTCTCGCATCGTATCCTCGAATGTATTTGAATCCATGTTGCCGTCCAGGACGTTCTTGAGCATGTCGAGGAAGGTCGGGTAGTAGTCCTCAACTTGGATCTCTGGCTTGGGCTTTAGCCTCAGCGCCGTAGCCGTGCTCTCCCTTCTGTTCACCCGGCAACGCTCCTCCTCGATGGCCAGCAGGCGTGCCCGTTCGTACATGACGTGCAGACGGTCGCAGAGGATCGCATGTAGCCGCAGGAATAAATACCAGTTGTTGTTGGCAAAGAAAAGCGAATAGGATTCGTCCTGGTTGAAAGAAAATTCATGAATTATTATTATTTCTAGTCAAAATCTCAATTATACTCACTTCATGCTGCCCCTGTGCGTGTGGTGGCAACAGCTTGGGATTGCCGAAATCCGCCGGGTGCTCCAGCTTGATTTCCACATCGCTGCCTGCTGCTGCTGAATCTTGAGCTTGCCTGGGACTCGAGACAACGCCGGAGGTGCTGCTACTGCCTACTTCGTCTCTGTGGGACGAAAGGGGATCATCCTTCGGTTTGCCATCGGATCCGATTGCAGATGATGATGAGGACGATGCAGCTGCTGCTGCCGCTGCTGCTGAGGATGTTGAAGGTGTCGCATCGTCCGCAGACGTCGCTGAAGATGACGTTACTGCGGACGCTGCTGCCGCAGATCCACTCGTCGCCTTTGCGTCATCAGTCTCTTTCTTAATCCCCGCCGGTGCTCCGCTGCTGCTACTTGCATTGCTTCGCGCCGGAGACGCACCTTCGCTGGTCGTACTCTTGGCATTTCGAGCAGACGACTCCGTGCGACCCAATGGCGAGTCCACGTCCATTTTCGTATTGTCATCTACCAAAAATGGAAAGGCTATATAGAGAAACGGTGTGCACAACAGATATGTTCGGATATTCGATGTGGTTCAGGAGGGTCAGTGAGTGGTTGTTTGTGCATTGCAGTCCAGTTTTGGTTTTATATTATTATATTACAGGTTTTTTGTTACGTTACAAAAATTTGTTTTATTGGTTTATTTCGGGTTTGTTATTAATTGCAAAAAAGAAGAAAAAGAAAAAGAAACGAAAAACATTCACTATGTTAAAAAGTACAATCGAGCAAGTGTTAAAGAAAGTAAGCTTTACAAATTGAATGGAAATTAGTCTGCCAAATTATTTTCTTCTAAATAATATTTGATTTACATATCTAATTAACGTTTTAAATTCATAAAGCTTTATTTCTTTAACAAAAAATTAAAATAAATATTATTAATTTGAGTACGGATGATTGAGAGATGATCAAGCCATCGCATAATCATCTCTTTCGCTGATTAGTTAGTGATAATAGCTACTCAAATAAACTGTGGTTAGCGCAAAATAAATAATGAAATTAAACTAGATGATTATACGATGATTATTCGCATGTGCTAACTTACCGTCATCTCGTTCATCGTCGCTCAGCGGCTGTCGTGGCGCAAAGAAGAGGTCAGGCACAAATTGTCGGATAATCTGCTTAATCTTCTGCTTCTCCTGCTTCTGGATACCAGTTTGCCGCTTCACGTGATGGATCAGCAGGTTGGCGGCATCGTCCAGTATGGTTTTGTCCTTGTAGGGCAGCACCAGATGCGGCCCAAACGGCTCCATGGCGTCGTCCTCCTGGTCGTGCCGCTCATCGTAAAGCGTCTCGATTTCGTTGAACAGACTCTTGGAGCGCAGGGCCTTCATGTCGTTGGGCTTGAAGTTGATGGCTTGGTGATCGAGAGACTTGAGGTAATACTTCTCGTTCTGTTCCCGCCATTGCTTGTTGAAGGTCTACACAAAAGAAAGTGCTTGTTTAATTTACATATATGTAAAGCAGTGCGCGAGTTCACTTACCTTTTGCGCCTCTCGCCATTCCTCCTCCTTGACTTTCAGCCGCTTCAGTACAATGGGCACTGCCACGGAGGGATTCTTCTTCATTCCCTGGATTATCTCGCCTGACTTGTCGCCATAGATGCGATGGATGGCCCGCTGGTGTATCGTTTGGGATGTGCCGCCCAGATGATCGTCCAGGTGGAACTTGGCCAACTCCTCGGTGGACATGCGCGACATCTTCTTCTGCACGTTCTCCAGCACCCGAATCGTGGCGCTGTTCACCTCAATAACCAGGTCCAGCTCGAAGCGCTCGTCCTCCGTTCTGTGAATATTCCTTTTGTTTAGAGCGTGCGTATTGGTTAATTGAAATAAACGAAAGCCAAAGAAACAGAAGATCCAAAACAAAACAAGAGATGTGTAATAGTTGAGAACAAAATATAGGTGCGGTTAAAACTCAAAATAGGAATAGATAAATCTTATAACCAATTAATATTTAAGGAATATAATTTAACCGCAACTATAGAAACTCAAAATTAAAAAGAAAGAAAACAAAAGTACCAATGTAGAAGTCTCGATTTGATTCGGGACATTTTTTTAGTGTAGAATTGTGGATTATAGACGTTAAAGAAATAGTTCTCACCTGTAAATTGTCTCTTCGAACTGAGTCTTCCGCGATGTCACAAAGGTGGAGTCCTCGCTAGCCCAAGTGGGAAAGGAGACCCACTTGTCGTTGAGCACCTCCCGGCAGAGGGCCGTCCGGCCGCTGCATTTCTTGGGCACTGTGGACTGGGGCAAGGCACAATAAGATGCACCAAGTCGTTTGCACGAAGACAGGTCCACATCCTGAACGTACTCAGCCGCACTCTGGTGACTACTGCCTCGATCATGGGAACTATTACTGCTTCCGCCTCCCTGACGTTGCGTGGCAGCCAAGGGCATGCCATCGATAATTCCACCTGCCTGTTGACCAGTTGGCGGTCCCAGAAAGTCGGTGAACCATCTCAGCAAGTCGGGGAACTTCATCAAGAACGGAGATACGAGACCAAGAAGTTCCGTTTTGGAGACAATTTCCTGGTTGAACAATGTCAGGCATCGCAAGAAGTTGTCGTAGACCTCGGGATTCCTAAGCGCCTTGCGCACCTTGTCGAAGAAGGCGGCGTCGGAGATGGTGCACTTGCTCGATGCTTCCGAGAAGCTCACGTCCCGACAATAAGGCTTCGGTCGCTTAGCAGGCGGTGCTCCACTAGCGTAGTGTCCGGCTAAACTATCATCACCCGGTCTCCTTGAAGCTGAACCGGAATTATGCTGTCCATGGTGACCAGAGGGCAGTGGCGGCGTTGCGTAACTAATCCCTGGCGAACTGCGATCAAGGGAGTTGTCCGACATGTGCGGCATGGAACCAATCACCGAGGTGATGCCATAGCTTGGCGATTTCTTGGCATTATGGCCGTGTGATAGATTCGGGTTGGGCGCGTGACCCACGTACTTTTGCACATGATGATTATTCCGGTGCTCCTTTTCGTACGACACCATTACACTGGCTCCCACACCAGGCCGCCCGATGTTAGTGCCCGCCGGAGTGCCGGCCAAATGATGATGGCCTCCAACTCCAGCTCCTCGCTGATGCGCCTGCTGCTGCAGACCCGCGTGATAGTCCTTCTCGAAGAGGACATCGTTTCGGGTCGCATTCAGGCCGGAACCGATCACATGATTCTGCTGTTGCTGATTATTATTGTACGTCTTAATGCTGACACTGGTGTTCACCGCCGATAGATTTCCAATGGCCGCTGCATGGGCACTGTTGTCGATCTGCGGCAGATTCGTTGCGCCCAAATGCAGTGGGGAACCACTCGGTGCTGGCGATGCAGATGACATGGTGATGTGGGCTCCACCGCTTAAAGTGGCCGTAGGGCGCTTGCCATGGTCGTTATGCACGGACGCTGACTTGGACATGTACTGTCCGGACTGATGGTTGGTGGCATCGGGCAGAAATTGGCCAAACTCCCTCAGCAAATCCTCATCTTGTCCAAAGAGCTTGGCCACCTGCGTGTACACCTCCTGTTCGGTGAGCATTTTACCCTGGTTTAGGCTTCCCTCCTTCATCACCTTCTGCTCCTTTTGGTAGGCATGCAGAATTTCCAGAAATTTCTTATACTTGGCCGGCTGGTTTTGGAAACGGTTCTGTTCGAGAAAGAAGAAAACAGTATGAGTAAGCTATATAGTTTAAAGATTTTGAGCAAACGTTACCTTGATCTTATTTACATAGGTTATGGCGTGATTGAACTCCACCGGCTGATTCTGCTGGCCCGTCTCGCCAAGCAGAATCGATTGATGCGCCTGCTGAATGTGATGCAGATTGTGCTGGGCCGCCCCCGCACCTGCCCCACCGCCGTGGGGACTAAGCTCACTCAGGGAATTCGGCGTTGGAGGTCCGCCAACCACAATACTTGCGCCTGCATTTGCGTTGGCCGCTCCGCCAACCACTTGGCCGCCCGTGGGCGTTATGGTGGCCCTTTCACGATCTCTCGAGTAATTCTGCGGCACGTTGTGCGCCGATACGGAGATGCCGGCTGGCTGTTGACCTGGTACTACAGCAGATGGAGCCGGGGAGTTAGTTACACTCACGTGGACATGACCACCGCCCGGGGATTGCGATTGGGGAGGCGTTGCTTGCTGCTGCAAGGCATGGATAGTGGTCTGGGTAAGCGATGCTCCACCGTGGGTCATTAGATTTACAGCTCCAGCGGACTGAATCTGAGCCGCAGCTGCTGCTGCAGCCACTGCTCCTGCTCCCGATCCCGATGTCAAAGCTGCCGCATTAGTCGTCTTGATGGTTATATGTCCGCCAGCCGACATCGGACTGTTTCCGGTGAGCATGTGCACCGTTCCCGTGCTAGTTGGCGCTCCCGTTGGCGAGGGCATCGAAACCACTGGCACCGAGCAGCCGAGGGCATCCGAATGAATCTCGATCTTGTAGCCCGGCGGCAGGAACATGTTGAAGCCGTAGATCAGCTCGGTGTGTCCCTTGAAGAGCGTCGAGACTCGCTCAATCACTCCGGGTGTGTCGATGCAGTGCGACTTAAACTCCTTCATGATGTCCAGGAAGTTGTTGTAGATCTGCGGCTGGTCCGCGTACTGGTATTTCACCTGGTCCAGGTAACTCAAGGCATCCTCCACTTTCAAGCGTGGCGTGGCATTACCAGATTGTCCCTGCGGCGGAGTAGTTCCGCCCACTGGGATACTGTTGGCAACCACTGCCGACGGAGGAGTCTGTGCGCTGGCCAAAGGCGGCTGCTGAACTGGTTGCTGTTGCTGGGACATCGTGGCCAGATTGCCGACGGCAGTGGCCAATGTCTGGGTGCCGCTGATTGTACGCTGGCGAATTGTGCCAGTTTGTGAGCTGCTGGAAACAGTCTGTGCGCTGGCTGGATTGTTTGATCCTGCTCCTCCAGTCACATGAATCTGTACTGTGTTGGCGCCATCCGCTGTGGTGGCCTTGAGAGTTCCACCCGCCTGAATGGAAGCCACGCTATAAGCTGCAGGGTAGAAACATACCAGTCAATAAAATAATCACTTAATCCATGGAATAAATAGAGCACTTACATGTGGTATACTGTAGAGTTTGTGTTCCTGTGCTGCCTGTGGAGACCACCACGCCTCCACCGCCGGCTGCAGCGCCTACTCCTACGGCCACCTGGGCTCCTGTTCCTGGTCCTCCAGCTGTAGTGCTGTCCACAATCGAGCTTGTGGTCTTCAAATTCGTGGCCGTCGGCGTGGTGGACGGCAAATAGGCAATGGTCTGGGCTCCTCCATGCTGCGGGGTAAGGATGCGATGGTGAATGGAACCAATTCCACTGATGGTGGGGTTATGGGCACCGGGCACAACGGTTCCAATGGTCACGCCCGTCGTATTGACGCCCACGGTGGCAGTGCCACCGCTGCCAGATGTGGGACCTCCTCCAGCCACGCCCACGACCCCAACGCCTACGCCACCGGATGTCGGTGGTCCGGGCCGTGTGCCAAACTGCACCTCGTCGACACGGGTGCGTTTCATCATTTTTCGTTGCTCTTTTCTCGGCGGAGCCTCTAATCCTTTACGGCTTGCCTGCTTCTGCTGGCTGAGCACTCTGTGTCTCCCTTGATCCCTGCCCAAGTGCAAGGACTCTCTGGCTACTCTGGGTGAGTGGCCGCCCTCTATGAGCGTATGTAGTATGCAACAAACGGTCGGGGTCGCAACTCTTGGTCTTGGACTGCTCTTGGATGCGACATATGTTGTCTATGCATTTGTTCGCCCCACAAGCGGCAAATGCGCTTGAGTTCTAGGGTAGAGAAATTGGTCTGACTGCTGGTTATCTGCTGTTTTTGCTGTTGCTGCGCCGGTGATTCGCCTCTGCCACGTCGCTTTTGTAGTTTTTTTCCGGCAATAACTGGAGAAAAAGGAAAGGTAACGGTCAATATCTATGTTAAACCATCCACTTAAAGTCCTTATAAATACTAATATTTCTGCTTATAAAGTAAACAATCTAATCAAGATTTTCAGTAGACATTCAAAAATTTGTGAAATTTATCTATTAATGATTTCCAGTACATAATCAGTGATTATTAATCACTATAAGTTCACTAGATAAACACTTCACCAGATAATGGAACACTATTCTTCCTCATTTTCCCAAAACAGGTTTGCTAATATAGCACAGCTGATTGATCAGTTCGGTCTACTTCTAGATGAAATCTCAAAACGATTGCACATTCCAATGAAAAGGTGAAATAAAAAGCACACGGAGGAATTCTTCTTCTTTGGCCGTATCACAAAAACTTTAGAGTGGAAAACGATGTCTTTGTATTGGATATTGGATTCGGGGGAGGAGAGAAAGGTGAAGTGAAGAGAATAGGAATGGAATGGAATGGTGGAGCTGGGAGCAATAAGAACAAAAACAAGAGAATGGTACATATAGACGGGAAGGAGATCGTCGAGTGGAAGTTCCAGGCAAAAGGAGGAGAGGAGTTCAATTTAGTGTGTGTACGTGCAACCGGAATTGGGCGCGCGCTTTGTTATTGCTTTCAGCGGTACAGTAAATACTTCCTAAGCGAGCTTTCTGTATACACCTTCGAGTGCGTGTGTGTACTTGCTGTGGATGTGGAAGGTGCCAAATGCCCCATGCACGACATCGGCTTGCATAGAATTCAGACACATACAGAGAACATATTTATATACCGATTCCGCCCAGGGGGCGGGGTGGAGGGAGGGAGTACTGCTGGTACATATTCTGTATCTACAACTTACAAGAATAAGAAGAAGAAGCAGCAAACGCAACAATGCAAAGGTGGTGGTGCTACAATGGTGGTGGTGGTGGTGCAGCCACAAAGAGAGAGTCAGCGAGCGAGAGAGCCGCATTTGTTGTTGAGGCGCAGTATGATATGGCTGATTTTTTTTTCTAAAAGGCATTTCACCCGTTTGGGGCCAAACACACACACACACACACGAGCACAAGCAAAGCGAGCATTTGGCGGGCAATCGAGAGAAAGAGAGCCAGAGAGAGCCCAAAGCTGCGCAGAGTAAATATAAGGTGAATGGAAACCGTCTAGAGGATCATCCTGCTCCAACTAATTTAAACACCCCATCGAACCAACAGCTGCCCCCTTTTAGCATTTGTAAACAAATATTGGAGCACTGTACAGCCGCACAAAAGCTTTGGCCCTCGCTCTCTCTGCCACCACCAACTATCCTTAAAAAAGGTAAAACAAGTTCGCTCTTTGCGCTCTCCCAACCGCCTTTGTTGTTATTGTATTTTTTGGATCCGCCATTAGTGCATACCAAACACACGTTTGTATGTGTGTTGTGTGTTTGACGAGAGAGGCTCCAAATTGGGGCGTTGTGTGCGTGTGTGTGCGAGTGCTTTGGGGAGACATGTGGGCAAATTTTCCCTCCATTTTTTTTTGTTCAGCCCGCTCTATTACGTGCACACGTATAATGTTATCTTATCTGTTTTGTTATGTGTATACACAGCACAGCACAGAATACGCAGCACAAAAGGCAGGCAGCGGAAAAATATGCAAAAATTGTTAGACACTGGCACTCGATTTTTGAGCAACTGCAATACGGCGAGGAACCGTCGCGAATTAATATTTAGTTTTTTGAGTTACTTTCTCGCTCTGGCACACTCACACACTCGCAGTCTGCGCTATTAATAAATTTTGCAAATAAAACATATGGATGTGTAGAGAAATATGTACAATATATACATATATACTATTTCAGCAAGAAGAAGCACGGCAAACGTTTTGTGTAAATTCAAAACCGAATGAAAAACAGGCAGGGCAAGAACAACAAACGACGGATGGGGAGCCAGACGAGACGAAGGAAGGAAGATGTGAACAAAAAAGAGGGCCACAAAATGATGCTCTCATTGGGGAGCCATTTAAATGCACACTCACACCGACGCACTACACTGGGCTGGCTGGCTCTCGGCAGTACATGCGAATGGCGCATCAAAGCAAAAGTCGAGATAAGCGCACGAACTGAGCAAGAACGAAACAACGAACGAAAATAAAACGACACTACGTTGAAAAAATACAGTCAGTTCATAAGCAAGCCAAAAGCAATGGTTCAAAGCGTATGTATGTGTGTGGCTCTCCTCTCCACCCTCGTTCGAGTGTGTGTGCGCTGAGAGGCAGCAGCGGAGCAGCAGCAACACAAACAACAACCACGTCGCCGTCGACGACTTTTTGTCTGTGCGCCTTCTATATGTATTCGCTATGCCATTGTACATGGGTTTGTGTGCGTGTGTATATAAACCAATTGAAATTGACCTAACCTAAAAATGTTGTATTTTTCACAAGTTTTCAGTGGCACGAACACGACTGTTGTTTGATTCCGAGCCCGCACACCAAGTGCACTTGAAGGATAATGTCCCTCTGCACTTTCCACGCCCCCAACCGCCCACCGCCCACATTACACTTACATCAGCAATAAGCAATAAGCAGTTAGCTTCGTCGGTTGATATTCGGCTGTGTGTATATTCGAAATGTATGTATGTATGTACTGGGCGCGTATGTATATTTACTACAAAACTGCCGTTGGTTTGTGGTGTTATTGGAAACTTTCACGTTTTACGCAGTATTTTGCACTTGCAACTACTATTTCCGCACTCACTGCTCACCGAAATCTTAATTTTCACTTTTTTTTTTTTTGTTGGCTGGGGCTCCGCTCCCAAGTTGAGTTTTTCCCTAATTCTTATGTTTATTTCGATCACTTTAGCTTTCCTCCGTGCTCGATCACACTGGGCGATTTGGGAAATTATTTTCTTCTCGGTAGATTTCTACTGCTATTCTATTCACACAATTTTGGCGAGAAACGTTTTCGTACATCTTAACGCCGCCGCAAACATTTTCGATTAAACGAAACGGCAGGCAAAGCGACGACGGCCAGTCAGTCGGAGTCAGCAGAAAGAGCGCGGAGCGAGAGAGACCTTGTGCGCTCTCTGCAGGAGAGAGGGAGAGCGGAGCGCGCGCAGTGTTGCTTTGGAATTAATTTTCTGTTGCTGCCGCAGCTAAAACAGGGTGGCAACTCAGCGGCGCAACAACTGAAAAACCTCCGTCGCGCGCAGGGAAAACATTGCAGTGGCAGGCCATAAAAAATGGCTCATGTACACTCGCTCGTTAGTAAATAATAACAATCAGCAGTTATTTTCACTGGCGGTGAGCAATGCCGCATGCAAATCGCCGCAAAATGGCGCTTAGAATTTGGATAAGAAACGAGCGACGGGAAGCTTACGTAAGTGCGAGAAGCAACAACAACGTCGACGGAGAGCGGGAACAAGTTGCTGGGAAAGGAAACAGGGTGTTTCTTCCGTCCCAGCCATGTGGTTGAAAAGGTGATCAGAGCGAATGAGTGGGACACCCTGTTTGCTGCCAAAGAGAGCGGCCGAGAGAGCGGAGCACCCACACAAGCCCAACGAGTATACAGAGGAAAGCGACGTCGGCAGAGGCGCTTTAGCCGACTATTGCAGTACATAATGAAATCGACGGAACCGAAAATCAGAAACCAAACGGACCACTAGCGAGCTACAACGAGCCGTGCCACGGCTACACTTCACACAGTCATGAGGTACTCCCCCTCCCCAACCCACACTCACACAGACGCGTGCGTGCGGAGAGAGGAAGTAAAAAAAAATATGAGGATGAAAAAAAGCAAAGTGCATCTCACCATGACAATGGCGGAACCATAAAAACACATGTTCCCATCTTGAATCGAAGCGAATTCGGTGGCCCACCTCCAAAAACAAGAAGAAAATAAAATAAAACGGGCGAAAAAAATCTGTATACGCGAAAAAGTTGAGCTGCTAAAACATGGAAACCTTGCCGTTATCGATTCGCCTCGCTCATTGCGCAATGAAAAGTGCAGCGGGGGCGGCAGACGCGAAAGAGTGAGCGAGGAGAGAGCCTCTCTCTTTTCGAGGCACCTGCAGCGGCGATAGGAAATGCAAATCCGCCTCCCACCTTCCAGCTCGAAAGTTCAAAGTTCATATGCAACTATCAACTGGGTGCAGCGCATGTCCGAGGTGCACCGAAATCCCCGGACCGAGAAAAGGGACAAACCAAACTGTTCGACTTCCAGGCGCCGCAGGAAGGTTTGTTTGCCCTTCCATTGGCTGTTATTGATGTTTCTCTGATAATAAAGCCAGGTGGTTTCACATGTTCTAATTATCCCTGTGCTCATTTCAGATTGATGGCTTGGAATTCTGCAAAAGGAAATGAATGAATTGCAACGCTGATTGAGTTTAATATGGAGCGGAAAGTGCTTCCTGTCAAAGCAATTCAACAATATATAAATTGCCAATTAGTTTCATATTCGGACGTGGTCAGCAAATATTTGGAATCCATCCGTGTCACCTGATTTTTAATGTGATAAATATACACTTTGTAATTTCATGTGTGCCAGTACAAAGGGAGTCAAGTCAATTTCGAGATAAAAGAAAATTGTAGTCGAATTTGGATGCAATTTATTTTGAAAGACCTTTTCATATCAAAGCACTTACATTGAAATCTAAGCTAGCTAATGATCGTTTCCCTTAAAGAAATTGTAAATTTGGATTCAATTTTCTGAATAAATTTCACCTAACAAATATTTGGACATAGACCTTTTCTGCTGACTATGAATTTTAGCCCCAATCGGATCTAGAATTAGCTGAAGACGGCAATCCATGTAATTTCCTGAACTTGGCTGATCATTTTACTTTCTAAAAAAGGCCTAAATTCTTACACAATCATTTTGATCATTAACCAAAGTATATACATATAAGATTATGACCATAAGACGTGCCATTTAAATCTGAAACTGTGAAAAATGTCTAAAACACTTCGACTTCGTTCCGACCATCAAGTTCAAGACTTGTTCGTTGGCCTCTGGCAAAAAGACAATTGCGAATTGCAAACAATTGGTTGGCGACGCGGCAAGTGTTTGTTTCTCGGGAGAGAGATCAAGAGAAGTGTGGAGAGACAGATACTGCCAAATCTGGGGAGAGTTTGAGTTCAGAAGTAACTTGTTTTTCAAGTTTTCAAACGGCCAAAACCAAAACCAGACTCAAAAAGCCAGTTGAAACTTGAGGCGCTTCACAAAGAAAATTTGAGGAAAACGAGGAAAGCACTGCGAGTATGTGTGGTATCACAATTGGACCTCACAGCAGCAGTGAGCCCGATTTCAACAAATTATTTAATTAGAATCAACGTAAACCCGCAAATTGAAGGCTGAAACTGCCGTCTCGCTCACCTTGTGCACAAACACACACACGCAAGCACCAAAAGGGTAGATGGAGCTGCCAACTTTTTTCTCTTTTAAATAACTGCATTTTTTTCTTTTTCTGTTAATTAGTGTGTAAATTATCTTGTAAATTTAAAATTTCACAACTTGATTTATAAGTGCCAACAAAAGGGCATAGCTGAAACACTTTTCTATAAAAAATTATTTACAAAATAAGTCACCGTTTTCCTAATAACAAAAAGTATTTTTTGTTTTCCGAATCGTTAACAAATAATGTTAATTTAAGGGTTTACCCCTTGAATTATAAATTTCCAACGAGTTGGCAGCTAAGAAGCGAATGAACGCAACAATAACAAAAGGTGAGCGCGGTAAACGCGCTCTGCCTCTTTCACACACACACACCTTGGTGTTTTGATAGCCTTCGTAGTGTGCGTGTCTGCGTCATTGTTGTTGCTGCTCTCAATACCTTTCTTTCTTATTTTTATTTACTCTCCCAAGTTCTTTTTTTTTAATTTTATTTTATCAAATCAAAGACAATTAAAAATGTCCAACCACAAACACACACACACGTGCCAACAGATGGCGGAACTTTGTTTTTTATGTATACTGCGAGCGATAAGAGCGATTTCCACAAATATTACAAGCGCAAATATTAAGTCGGTAACTGTAACTCATTCAGAAAACCCCAATTTCTAGCCTCTATGGAGAGTACAAAATGACAAGGAATGTATGCACTATTTTAATATGATTAATGCCACTGGAAGTTCTAGTTGCCGCCTAGCGTAATCAGTTGGGGCAAATTGAGGTTAAGTACGAAAAATATTCTGGACACCCACTCACTGACTCGCACACACACACGCATACAAGGGCGCGCATTTTTATTTTTTACATACATACCTGGGTTTATTAACTGGAGTCTCCTTCTTTTTTTCGTCCCCTTGTTTGTTGCTCACTACTGCCAACTAGCAGATTTCTGGTAATTTTAAAATTTATTGCGGCTACAACTTTCAGCTGCTTGTGAAGCTAAATGGGTGAGGGGAGCGGTGGGGGAGAGAAAGGAAGAGAGTAGCGCGTGAGTTGCTTCTTCTTCTTACATTTGCAACAAACACATGCAAACACTCTGCACACACACACATGCACTCGAAATCGATTTATGCTGATTTTAATGCAATTCCTCAAACTCTTTTCTTTTTTTTAGATTTATTGCACGTAAATTCACTCGTGCTTTAGTTTATAATGGCACACACACACACGTATATGGACATGTATGCGTTATGGTCAACCCCACGCCAGGAATTTTTGGAAATTTACATTTTGCCCGACGAGATCTACTAGGTAATCTGGATGGCGCGCGCTGTGTCTGGTTCTTGTTCCTATCACTTATTTACTTCGGCTCTGTGTTTAAATTAAATTAGTCGCACAACTTATTTGGAAAATGATACAAATTCTCCGCAGTGTTGCCAGATGAAAATTCAGCTTTCCCCTAAAAAATCTCAAACAGTCGAATCTTTGGGAATCGTCGATGTTTCCACATCACTAAAATGTTAGCTGTTAACTAACACGCCATCTATAACACTTATGTTAAGTGTCAGCGTTTATAAGAACTATTTGAATAAGACTAGATTCAGTACGCTTTATTTACTTTAAAATCACTTAAAGAAGTATATTGCAGACCATATTATTAATTTTTAAGTTCCGTGAAACTTTTCAACAAGTAACAGCTGTTTAAAAATTCAACAGGAACCATTATGGTCGTACCTTAAACTACCGAAATTTTCTGTTGAAGCCTAGTACTCAGTACGACGAAAACTGCTAGCTAAGCATAGGAGTAAGCGAGAGGCAAATAGGTAGCTAAAGCCTTTAGCCGGGGACTTTTTTCACCGCGGTACTCAGTTAAGCTAAGGAAATGGTAAGGAAATACCAAAAAAATGCTAGATTTAGCGGATGAGTTCCGATGAACGCCTTTAGCCGCGGCCCAAAGAATAAAAAATTTTATCTTTGGCAGTGTTTGTGCAGAAGCGGTGTGCCAATAACAATTTATAAATGGAAGGAAAACCACAAAAACCAATGGAAAACTGCCTGTAGGAGTTGCTGCAATACATATCGCCATTCCAACAGCGAATTTAAAGCTTGCGACCCAGGTCGGCTCAACGTTTTGTAATATTTTAAAATTGGCGCCAGTTGATTTGTTTGCTGAGAGTAAGACCATGCTCCATGCATTTCGGAAGAACACCGAAAACTTCGGACACACTAAAAGAATACGATTTTTCGACTAGTGAAACTCTTAGCAGAAGTGAGTACTAGACTTGAACTTTTAACAATTCAGCAATCAACACTTTAGGGAATATTCAAATTAATACTTTGTTACAAAATCTGGTGATTTGTCAATGTGGTCTTCTATAAAATGGAATCAACATTTTTACAAATTCAAAAATTAGCATTAGCAAAATATCAACTCGGTGAATTTTTATTTTAATAGCTACTTTTCAATAACTTTGCGCAAAATAAATCAGAGAGGAAATATAAAACTAGCAACTTTCAATAAAATTTTTAAAGAGAACGACGAGGAAAATTCCATTTGCGAACGCGAACGAAAATCTGAAAAATCTGCTATTAAGTGCTCGAAGGTTTTTAATTCCCC